TGTGAAGACTGACAGCCTTGGAGACCCTGTGGGGCAGTTCCACTCTGTCCTCTAGGGGCGCTGTGGGTCGGAATGGACTGCTGTGTGTCTCTGGATGTCTCCCATCCCCTCCTGATCTCTTCTCTTCTGAACCACAAGCCTTCTTCCGTTTCTGGCCCAGCCCCTGAACTTCGGGTGATAGAAGCTGACCCCCAAACCCTACCATCCTCTGATGCTTGCAGATGCTGGAGAAGGGCTCCCCCACCCTTCACACCTTCTGCTTTCCGGCCTCGTTAGCGCCTGTGTGATCTGGGGTCTCTGGCGGAGACGCCCTCGCCCCCCCCATCCTCCGGGCTCTGGCAGAAATAAAGTCAGCCCCAGCTGGTCGCTTCGTGCTTGTTCTCAGAGGTGGGAGGGAGTGTGCTGCAGGTTCTCTTGGAAGCTGCCTTGCGTACGGAAAACTTGTGAAGATCACATTTACCGTATTTCTTCACGTTTAACGCGCCCACATAAGTAATTGCGCAGGAAACTAATGCACGGCGGCGGGGGGGTGTACATGATTTGCAATAAAACATTTTTCTGGTGCGTTATTTGCGTGAAAATACGATACTGTTGGCCCCAACCACCCAGGAATTCCCTCCATTTGAAAGATGGCGGAGGCCGAGGCGCAGAACGGCTGCCCTGCACGCTTGCAGTGCGTAGCAGTAGTGCCGGCCTGTTGAGAACGCCCCACGTGTCCGCTCCTTAAGTTTGTGATGTGGGCTGTGTCAGTCCTCGCCGCAGCCCCATTAAGGTTGAAATTTTTTCGCTACTGAACCACCAGCCTTTGGTTTCTGGAATGCCTCCAATGCTGCCTGGCATGTGGTTGGCACTCAGTAAATACGTGCTGGAATGGGTGCACCAGCCTTCACCCCGCCGTCTGAGTGGTGGAAGGAGGCACAGAGGTGTTGAGTGACCTGCCCACAGCTCCTAAGAAGTGGAGCCAGGGTTTGAACCCAGGCTTCGGAGTCAGCGGTACAGACTTAGGCACAGATAGTAACTTGCTCAAAATTCTTTAGGTGAGCCTGGTGGCTCAGGGGTTAAGCACTCAGCTGTTAACCAACAGGTGGGCAGTTCAAACCCACCCAGCAGCTCAGCTGGGGAAAGATTTGGAAATTGGCTTCTGGTCCAGCCTAGTACCAGCGGTGGAGGGACTGGGGGGCAGGGAACACCAGAAATAAAGATGACCAAAAGCAAACTCACTGCCCTCGAGTCAGATCTGACTTCATAGCGACCCCTCCTTGGGTTTCCGAGGCGATAGCACTATGGACGTAGATTGCCCAACCTTCCTTCCAAAGAGCGGCTGGTGGGTTTGAATCACCAGCCTTCTGGTTAGCAGTCAGATGCCTCAGCACTGTTGTTATGTACTGTTGAGTCAGCACGGATTCATAGGGACCCCTCCTTGGGTTTCCGAGGCGATAGCACTTGGAAGTAGATTGTTCAACCTTCCTTCCGACCAGCCACCTGGGAAGGAAGATGGGTCAAACTACTTCCATAGCCTTAAGGCACTAGCCACCAGAACTGAAAAGATGACAGCCTTGGAAATCCTATGGAAAGTTCTGCTCTGTCCGCTAGGGGCGCTGTGGGTCGGAATCGACTCAACGGCCATTGATTTAGTTCGGTTTAGTTTCTCGTAGATT